TGTGCAGGAGGCAGCCGATCAATGATTCTCTCTCATCATTGATGTTTCTATCTCTCTCTCCCTCTCCCTTCCTCTCTGAAATAAATAAGAATAGAAAAAACAACAACAACACATGAATCTGTCAGGACATAAGTGACTGTGCTGGTTTTACTTTGCAGTGAATGAGGTCTCTGTTCCCTGAATCCCAGTTTAATTAGAGGAATAGATAGCCATAAACATGCTAGATGGTGCTGAGCCCCGCCTAGAGGATTAACGATCAGGGCAATGTTAGAGCCCTGGAGGGAAGGAGGTGCCTGGCAGGAGGGGGCCAGAGAGGGCAGGACAGGGCCACCGGGCTCAGGTTAGCCAGGCCCAGAGTTTGGGTTTGCCCTAGGATTCTGGGAGTCGGGGGAGGGCGGGCCTGTGGATTTCTCCAGGGGGAAGTCTCAGCTTTCGTTTGGTTCTCAAAAGGCCTCCTGCAACGCTCCAGGGTTCAAGTGGGCACTGCATTCAATGCAAGTGGGATGCTGGCCATGGCCGACATGTATTGGGGCATGTGGGCAGAGGGCTGGTGGGACTCTGGGGGTTACTGAGTCGGTGTTCTCTGAGCAAGGGTCTTGACCCTGCTGAGGGAGCACCCCACCCTTTGGCTCCCCCCTAGGCACACGGAATGCAGTGCTCAACACGGAGGCGCGAACCATCGATGCAGATGTGTTGAGCCGCCGCTGCGTGCTCATGCGGTTGCTAGACTTCTCCTACGAGCAGTACCAGAAGGCTCTACGGCAGTTGGCTGGCGCCGTGGTCATCATCCTGCCACGGGCCATGGCGGCCGTGCCCCAGGACGTCATTCGGGTGAGCCCCCATTCCCCACCTTCTGTACAGGCCAGGGTCCAGAGCTTCTGTGGAAAAGGGGACACTGGATTTGGAGTCAGCTGTGTGGCAGCCATTTCCCTGAGCCCTTGGGCCCTTGTCCTTCAGGAAGCAAATGCCTCCTGTTCCCCTTCATCATTGGTCCCTGTCCCCTGGAGTGACTCTGCAGGGGATACTGGGTAATGTCTGGGGACATCTGTGGTTGTCACAACTGGGGGTGCTTTTGGCATCAGGTGGATGCCACCAGAGGTACTGTTCAACATCCCACAGTGCCCAGGACAGGCCCCCACAGAGAGTGACCCAGACCTGATGTCAGCAATGCTGAGGGGCAGAGGTCTGCTTTGAATGAACAGGGTCTGATAGGATCCCCCAAGATTCTGCGGTAAAGATGCTTTGCACATGAGAAGGGGGTGTGGGGCAGTGGAGGTTGGGTAGGGTCAGCAGCCCACATTTTCCAAGAGCCAGCTCAGTACCAGGCATGCAGTTTACACCCACTGTCCATGTGGGTCCCTGCCGTCAGCTTAGGAAGCCAGCACCATTGCCCACTTACTGCTAAGGATGTGATGGCCAGTGAGGGCAGGACGGTCCACAGCAACACCAGACCTGACCCCAGCCTGGCTGGCTCCAGTGCCTGTTCTCTAGCCCACTTCCTCCCTGCTGGGTACCATCCAGGGGGCCCCTGGGCACCACCACACCTCACCTATCCCTCCGTCTTCATCGCACTTTCCTGTCTCCTTCTTGCCCCTTCCTCTTCTCTGGTGCAGTCCTAGCCTCGTTAGCTGCCTCAGTGGAGGCATTCTTTCAGGCCTGGCCTATCTGCCCTCCAGGGACAGCCACTGGGCACCCCCCAGGCCATAAGTCACCTAACCCTGTGTCTCTTCCACAGCAATTCATGGAGATTGAGCCTGAGATGCTGGCCATGGAGACCATTGTTCCTGTGTACTTCGCTGTGGAAGACGAGGCCCTGCTCTCCATCTATGAGCAGACTCAGGCTGCCTCTGCCTCCCAGGGCTCTGCCTCTGCTGCCGAAGGTGTGGGGGGCTGCAGGAGCCGAGCGGGTTCATGGGGAGCCTTCCCTGTTGAGGTCCAGGGTCACACTGTGCCACTTCTGAAACCCTTAGCACATTCATGCTTAACAGTGCAAGTTACCAGGCCCTGCCCCAGACCTGCTGTGTCACAGTCTCAGGGCTGGGGGCCAGGACTCTGCATTTAATAGCCCCCACCTTATCTCACCACTGATTTTCAGGCAAACAAAAGCTTTGAGAGCTACTAATTTGGAGGGAGGTGTTTTCTGTCTTCAGCCTCCAGATGTTTATGGAAAACATGGCATCTATTCAGTTTTCTCTGTCCTTCCTGCTGAACACATCAGGGTGGGTCAGCAACGTTCTTGGGAGGAGGAGAAAACCTTCCTCCTA